GAGAGAGAGAGAGACTACCATTTGTTTACTCTGTATTCTTCATTCACATCAACATTTGGTGTTCTAGAGGAAATTATTCTCATTTCACCATCAACTGTCTCTCAATACTAAAAGACAAAAGTATTTGAAACAGTAAGTATACATGAATATGGTTTGTTAAATCATTATCTAATTAGCAGACAAAAGAGTTAGATATATCTTTAAAATAATGTTTTCAGGGAAATCTTGTCCATCTTCATTTTCAAGTAACCAGAGCCAAGTTATAGCGAACAAACCTGAGTGCCAGACATTTCCTCCCTGGTGCTGGAGATGTTAGGACAAGTGTGGTACACAGTTAGAGACTTGTATGTAATATAAGCTCCCAGGGAAGGGTCCCTCAAGTTTCAAATCAATTATTAATTTATATGGTATAAGAAAATATGTAAAAATTAAACTAAGACAATGTATGGTGTAACATATAATAATTAATCTCTATGGAATGCCATCAAGAGATTTGTTTTTTAAATTATCTCCATTTGGGAAAAACCTATTTACAACCAAAGTGTCTCTTTCTAGATATTAAGCATTACACTCTTACACACTGGTGTCATATAGACGGGTCACAGCCTATTATTGCCATAACAACACAAATATTTCATATAAATTCTCCCTTTCTTATGACATTATAAAATCTCCTAAATTCCTGTGGGGCACATTGACTAAAGTGATAGCAGAATTCCTTAAATACCATAAAAGCAATGAACCTATTGCTCAGAAAACTATATAATAGTTTACATTTATTAAACACTTGTTATGTACTAGAAACTTTTCTAAGTGTTACACAATATTCGTTCATTTCCTCGTGATGATAATCAATAAAAGGTTGTATAAGAGGTTGAAGAATATTAGCTTGCTTTTTGAAATTGTGAAAGCAAAAGCAAAGAAAATATATTCATGTTCTCTTTTATGCTTCCTTTCTATCAACTACTGATCAGTATAAATATATTATCAATTCTTCTGGCCGCTTAACTAAGGGTATATCTGTTTTCTTCATTGGCACTATTATTTTTTTTTCTTTTTTATACTCAAGTGCCTGACAAAATTCGATTAAGGAAGCATCCATTTTGAAGAAGAATGAACACATCATCAACACAAATATATAAAGAGTCAGGCCACCTTGCCCCACTAGGCTCCTTTGTCTTAGAGATGTTAATTGATTTCAATAACTGACCATGAGAGCTACATTTTCTTTCTATTCCTGTGTTTTGCATACCCACTCTATGTTCTAAATTCAATATTAAATGTAAACCCACACACTTTACAAAGTGTTCTCTCCAATATTTCCAGTACCCAACTAGCACCGTATAGTTATTGCAATATTGTTGACTATATTCCCTATGTTGTCCTTTATATCCCTGTGACTATTTTTAACTACCAATATGTACATTTACAACCTTCACTGGAGGATATGTTTTTATTCATTTTAGAGACAGAAGAAGGAGAGAGAGAGAGAGAGAAACATTGATCAGTTGCCTCCCATAGATGTCCTGACTGGGACCTTTTGGTTGGATGGGATGGCTCTCCACACAAATGAGCCACCCAGCCAGGGACATGGATTATTTTTTATAGTCATAACTAGAAGTGGTTGCTGCTGGCATATAGAGCCCATGGATGCTACTTAACATCCTACACAGCAACTGATACACTCCACAAGTAAATTATTTTGTTGACTGCTGTAGTTGAAAATCATTTCTCCAAATGTAATGGTTCTTGCATTTCATAATTACTGTTTTATTTAGCTTCCTTCTATGATGTGTATGTGTGTGTGCGCGCGCGTGTGTGTGTGTGTGTGTGTGTGTGTGCGCGTGTGTGTGTGTGTGTGTGTGTGTGTGCGCGCGCGCGCACGCACCCCACTCATTCTGATTGGTGTATCTGAGACTCTTGAACCTGTGGTTTGATGTCTTTTATTAATTTTAGAAAACTCTTAGCCATTATCTCTACATATACTTCCTCTGAACCTTACATCATTCTATTTTACTTCTGAGTTTTCAAATAGAGTTATTTAGACTGTTTGATAGTCATACAGCTTCAATACTTTCCCTTGTTTCTGCACTTTTTTTCCTCTACATGTAATTTTGAGTATTTTCTATTGATCAATCTGTATGTTCATTAATACTTTCCTTGAGTGTGTTAAGGCTACTGCTGTGCCCATATTTATCTCTGGTGATTTGTTTGTTTTTTATTTTTATTTCTAGCAAATTGAGTTTTCATGACTTAGTTGAAATTCCTTATTTATTCATACATGTTATAACTTTCACTCCAGTAGCCATAGAATTATATTAGATAGCATGTTTGATATCTCTAACATCTAAGTCATTTTCCAAATCTGAGTCTGCTAATGTCTTTGATTCCCTGTAACCAGTCATTTTCTCCTGCTCATTTGTGCTATGTCTATAGCTTTTAAATGCATATCATGAGAAGGTTAATAAAGACTCAAGTAAAATTAAATGGCATTTTGCCTGAAAATAATTTCTATATTTTGCTTAGCATCAAGTATAGTTTTGTTAATAATACAATTACCTCTGTGTTCCACAAACTTCAATTTCATCTATTACTACCTTATTTGATGGTGGGAGTTGGTTTGCCAGAGATTCTCAAAATGTAACCCATCCTAAGGTTTAGGTCTTCTCTTTGCATATGGATCTCTACCTGGATTCTTTCCCCTCTCCTAGCAATAAATTCTGCTACTGGTAACTCTATTCTTTTGTTAGCTGGTTACCCAGTAAGCTCAACTATCTGATGGGTTTTCCATAAAGTTTTTAAGCTTACAGAATATCTAACTTTTTGCATGATAACATAAGAAGCAAATTTCTTTCTAACATACTATCTTTTAAACTTCAGCTAAAAGTCTGATTACATTGGTGTAAACAACATTCAACTAAGTATAATTGCAATATGTTTTTTATTTGTCATTTAGAATAATACTAGAGATGTTTTAAAACTTCTCTGAATCTGAGAAAGTAAATTTTTCTACTGACTACATATTAATTCCATTTTAAAATAAATATATTACCAGAAATATGATTATATATATATTAAATTATTAAAATGAACATTGATAAAAAGGGCTCATGAAAATGTATAATAAATTATGCTTTTCAAGTAGTCTATCACCAGTATATCCTCAAATATAGCAATATGATAATAGGAATGCATAATAAATACTAGTTCAGACTCTTACAATTCATATTATATTGGAAAGGACAATTTTTAATTACAATTATTCTGTTTCCACAGCCAGATCCTCCTACCACTGTCCATACCTATATAAAATATGAAAAGTACCTCAACATAATAAAGGCCATATATGACAAGCCTATAGCCAACATCATTCTCAGTGATGAAAACTGAAAGCATTTTCTATAAGATCAGGGAAAAAACCTGGATCTACTCTAACCAATTCTACTCAACATAAGACTGCGAGTTCTAGCCAGGGCAAGGACAATAAATATAAAGAAAAATAAATACATGTCAATCTAATGCAACTCTGTAGAATAGTTAAAATTAAATATGACTCAAGGACAAAAAATAATGTGAAATCTGATGATCCATGTATTTTAAATTAATCGTGATGGAAATAAAACCTATGGTATACACTGAAAATAATAGGTTTTTCTTTTTCAAGTTAAATTTATGAGGAATTTTTTATAAGTCAACTAAAACCTGAACCAACATATAGATTTCAAAAATTGATTCATTTAAGAGACACATGAGTAAAAAATTAAATAACACTAATATAAATCATGTTTTGCAAGGCAGGTGTAAGAGGTGCCAAAGAAAATTCTAAATCTCAAATGACAGAATGGAATAAGATGAAATGTTACATTTGTGTTTATTGAAAAGTGTAGTGCTTCTGTGGTTGAAATCTCAATCAACTTTATTTTGTCATTCACTAACTCTAATACATTGGTCAGAGCACTTAAACTATACATTTTCATTTACTCAGAATAAAAGTTTATTTGTACCTCTACATTTATGAAAATATAATCATCCTACACCAAGATAGAGAAAAATACATGAAAACGTTTTAAACATGAGTTTTTCATAGATTCCAATCAAGAATAATACAACTTTTTTGCTATTTTTACATTATTGTTCCAGATAACTTAAAATTAAGTTAGTGACAATATACAAAGGAAGGTAGCTTATTTGGAAATATTTAAAATATTTTGGTTATCATTGTATATGTAAATATTTAGAAAATTTTGATAATATTTTAATTTATCATTGTACGTTTAAAATTATATAATCATACTTTCATGAACCCATATAAGACTGTTGTCTGGTTTTCATTTTACACACACAAATATAACCAGAATTTTTCCTCCCAATAAGTTTCTGAACAATTTTGAAATTTTATCCAAATACAAATAGTGCAGGACAAAAAAAAAAAAAAAAAAAAAGAAGAAGAAGAAGAAGAAAATATAAAGAATTCAAGTAAAATTGATGATGGAATTAAAAAAGATGTACATGGTTACAGAATTTTAAAAATTAGATACCTGTGTGTATGAGGGCATCTTTCTATAAATATGATTACTACTAGAGAAAAGTGAATCTTCCCTAATATACACAATAATCTAGATTTGTTATTTCTTTGTTTAGATTGTCATTGAAAATGGCATTTAATTTAAAACAGCATTCCAACCCAAGGAAAGCAATTAGCTCTCAATAATTACAACAAATATACTCAATTATTTAATGAAGACTAGAGAGTCTGGATGAAAAGAACTGATATATACTTGTGGTCAAGCTGCTATGTACATTAATTATACATTTTGCTGGTTGTCAGGTAATCAAAAAGAAGTATAAAAAGAAGTGAACCAAAATGACTCACTCATAAAGACCTACTCCCTGGCTGTGAAGAGGAGAGCTGACCTGGATCAGTGCAATCATCCCCGTATTTCCCAGCAGCCCACCGATTCATCCCTCTACCAGCCTCCCCTATGGGACCCTGAGTCCTGCTAAGAAAATATTCTCAGAGAAAATATTTTGGAGCGCACCATTTTTCTGAGAGCTTCTTTAACGTCTTTGTTCCTTACACTATAGATCAGAGGGTTCAGCATGGGAATCACTACTGTGTAGAACACTGTGGCCACCTTGTCAGTATCTGTACTATCGCCAGTACTGGGCCGGCAATAAGTGAAAAGGATTGTACCATGGAAAACAACAATGGCTGTGAGATGGGAGGCACAGGTGGAAAAGGCTTTGTATCTTCCCTTTGCAGAGTGCATCTTGAGGATGGTGATGAGAATAAACAAATAGGAGGTGAGGATAATGACAATGGTTATTATCTCATTGAAAGTAGCTACAATGTATAGGAGCAGTTCATTCATAAACACATCAGTGCACGCAAGAGATAAGAGAGGGGGCAGATCACAAAAGAAATGGTTTATCACATTTGATCTGTAGAATGGGATCTGAAGAGCTAAACACAAGTGAATCAGAGAACACACAGTCCCTCCGAGGTAGCAGCAAGACACCAGCTCCACACAGAGATTCCGGGACATGGTGACCATGTAGAGCAGTGGGTTACAGATGGCCACAAAGCGGTCATAGGCCATCACGGCCAGCAGGAAGACTTCAGTTACCACACACGTGCAAAACAAGTAGAATTGCACAGCACATCCCAGGAAGGATATGGCTTTGTCTTCGTTTACAATATTAGCTAGCATCTTGGGCACAATGATTGTGGAATAACAGAAATCTACAAAAGACAGGTGGCTGAGGAAAAAGTACATGGGAGTGTGAAGGCGAGAGCTGACCTGAATCAGTGCAATCATGCCCAGGTTTCCCAAAACCGTGACTCCATAGATCAGAAGGAACACCATGAAAAGAAAGACTGTCAGCTCAGGGACATCAGATAATCCAAGAAGAATGAACTCTGTCGCAATGGTACAGTTTTCCTTGCCCATGTCCCCACTTCACTGGAGTTGGAGAAAAATATTGTTATTCTCCATATCATGATCCCAAATTCAGTTTTTGACTGTCTCCTAAAAAAAGACATGAGAATAACTAGGATAGTTAATTTTTTCTGCAAATGGGACTTGTCTCTTGTGAAGTTTAGAAAATGCCCAAACATTGTATCATACAAATGCATAGAGCTCACAATTTCATTCACAGATCACACAAAAGCATTCATATCCATAGAGTCAGTGTGAGTCCTTACACTGATCCTATATAATTTTGGGCCTGGACAGGAATCATTGTAAGACATCCAATATTATTTAATTAGCCATTTTGTTTTATAAAATTTCAATCCATTTTTCCTGCTGACTTTTTAGTCAATACTGGGAAAATTGGGATCCCAGGAAATAATTTTTTAATTATTATACTGTTTACCACTGAAATACTGAGAGGAATGCTTAATTAAAATTGCTAAACCACAAGTATTTTTTTTACCAATATGTTTTAAAAGGCAAAAGTAGCTTTTATGCATTTTTCTATGAAATTAGTATAGTGATATTGTTAATTAGATATTTAATGTCAGCCATTATTTAGTGAATTTGTACTCTTGGATTCAAACTTCCTGCACCTATGACTCTGAAGCCTTATAATGACCTATTTGACAAATGAATTCACTGCTTTAAGTTTATTTGAAGAATTAATCAAAAATGTGAATATGAAATTATTAATAAGAATATTTGCTGCCACACTGCAGCATTATTGATGATAGTCAAACTTAGAAAGTGTCAAGTAGGATGGAAATGGTCAGAGTTATGGTACCTGAATATTATGGAAAAGTACAAAGCTATTAAAATTATATTTTTGAATAACTTTAATGACTTGTAAAATGACTATGCTAAAATGTCAAGTTATAAAATAATAAGCCATATTGCACAGATATATGTGTATACATAATTTTTGAATTGCATATTTAAGCCTCACAATATATATAAAATGTAAATATTTTATTCCAATTGTTACTTTAAACACACAATATAGAAACTTGCCTGAATTCTTACAAAATATGTTGTGAGATTGGCTCAAGAAGAATGGTGTGATTTTTTTAAAATATATTTTTGTTGATTTCAGAGAAAAAAAAAAAGAGAGGGAAAGATAGATAGAAACATCACTAATGAGAGAATCATTGATTAGCTGCCTCCTGCAAGCCCCACAATGGATATTGAGCTCACAAGCTGAGCATATGTCCTGACATGGAATTGAATCATGACCTCCTAGTTCCATGGTCTGCAAACTGCAGCTCGAGAGCCACATCCGGCTCTTTGACCCCTTGAGAGTGGCTCTTCCACAAAATACCATGGCCTGGGCAAGTCTATTTTGAAGAAGTGGCGTTAGAAGAATTTAAGTTTAAAAATTTTGGCTCTCAAAAGAAATTTCAATTGTTGTACTGTTGATATTTGGCTCTGTTGACTAATGAATTTGCCGACCACTGTAAGTTCATAGGTTGATTCTCAACCACTAAGCCACACTGGCTGAGCAGAAAGGTATGCTTTTTTACTAAGGAATGGATACATTCAAGGCCTTTGACATATAGAAGATGCCAACAGTGGGTGAGGACACCCTTATTTATTCTCTCCCTCCTGACCTTGGGTGAAACATGCATTCCTGTAGAGGCACCAGGTAATTACTCCTGGAGGAAAGAGAATCTAAACTGAAACCCAACACAGCCAACTCATTCTTCAAATGACTTCTAAGAAATAAAGTATATGTGCATTAAGAAATCCCAATTTAAAAACAAATAGTAATTCTGATAATATGGTATTCTTTCTTCAGTGGCCAGTAAAAGTGAGTTGACTTTTTCTGAGTTCAAAGTAGTACATAATTTTGAGAAACTTTTGGAAAATGTTTTCAAGTCTAAAGATGCTCAAGGCAAAAACCCAATGTGAAGACATTTTTCACCAAATATTTAACCACCAACTCCTGTATGATCATTTTATTATAATTATACTTTTTTATTTGGCATCATATATAGTATTCCACATAAATGATTTATAAAAAGAAAAATCAGGCTGTTGGTTACATATGGAACTGGTTACATATAGGTTCTTAATCAGCAGTGATTTGTATTCCCATGGGACATTTGTCAATGTCTGAAGACATCATTTGCTGTCACAATAGGGAGGGTGCTATCTAGCAAGTAGAGACTAGAGATGTGGCTAAATAACCTATGATAGTACACAACTGCCTTCCCCATTCCCCCCCCCCGCCCCAACACGCACAAACCAACAACACATGCAACTATCAAAATATTATCTGGCCCAAAATATGGAGAGACAATTCAAAGTGTTTGCACATGGCCAAAGTAATTCCTCCCCTTTGTGCTTCAGAGGGGGTTCAGCTGCCTCTGCCCCGCCGTAAGCAGTCCTCAGGCCCCTTGCTGCCACTCAGCCTCAGAGGGACCATCAGGAGGGTCTCCATGCAATTTTTACCAGGTTTCCAGGATGGTGTTAGTGAGAGTAGGAGGATGAAAAGAGAGAAATCAAGCATTCTTTCCAATTTGTTTACATTCTCCCTTTTACACTAAAAGCTGTTACAAGATCTTTGGTTCTGCAATTTAAATTGTTCCCATTTCTTACCGAGATTGTAATACACCGAGAAAATATTTTCACAAAGGTGCTCAAAATATGACATTTCTTGAGACACTAATTAAGGAAGAGGTAAATGCAGGTTTTAAAAAATATGACTAATACTACTGCCCTCCTTTGCAATTCTTTCTTCTATTAAATGAGGCTTTAATAAGTTACCTCGAGGAGAAAATAGAAAGAAAAAGCTTCCAGAACCCAGAAAATAACATGTAAATCCACTCCCAAAACACTGAGTATATAGTCCAACCAACCAACCTGTGGGACAGGCATTGCTTGCCCTGTTTCTGAAGGTGTTATGATGGGAAATATTATAGGCTTTATGGCGTGTGTATGTGTGTGTGTGTGTGTGTGTGTGTGTGTGTGTGTCCCTGGGGCCATGTACCTTAAGCTTCCCTAAATAATTGTTGATCTCTGTGGGACATCAACAAATTATCAGGAAAACACCACCATCTTGGGACTCAAATCAGTAATAACATCCATGAGATATTAACAGTGGGAAAACTATCCCAAGTTGGTATATATTGCTATAGTCCAATATGATGCCTTGAGAGCTCAGGGTGAATTTTAGGGTGTTGTATGCTTCATCCAAGCATTGATCTAAAGAGCAAAATAAATAAAAACAGACTCACAGATATAGAGAACATTTTGATGATTGACAGATGAAAGGGAAACTGGGAAGTTGGGTGAAAAGTGTGAAGGAACTGAGAAGTACAGATAGGTAGATACAGAATAGTCACGAGAATGTAAAATACAGCATAGTACGTTATAATATTTAAATAATATTATAATATCATGTATCATGTCAGATGGGCACTAGATTTATCAGGGTCTTCACTTAGTAAGTTATATAAATGCTTTATCACTGGGTTGAACACCTGAAACTAATATAATAGTATGTATCAACTATAATTAAAAATTTAAAAATATTATTCAAAAGACATTTTATTTTTATAAAAATAAGTGAGACTAGTACAGTTACACACCTTTACAAATGAGGTGACTGAGGCAGACAGGTGTAACTTGCCCAAAGTCACACGTGGAATGGCTGATAGGATGAGGCCATATGCTGCTTTTTGGGTTTGTGCCACCCATATGACTGTGTGAGAAAGAGCAGAGCTACTGAATGGAGCTGGATGGCATACGCCCTACTCAATGCCAGAGGCGGCAAAACGGGATTGCCTCTGATGGGTGGGTGGACTACACTCTGGTTTTTTGGAAATGGATATGTATGATACTTTCTGAGATCTGGAAGCTTGTTCCTATTTTCTCCTGGGGGTAATTTATTATAGCCATGTGTAAGAGAAGGAAGAATTATATAGGAGGGCAGTGATATTAGAAATATTTTCTTAAATCTGTATTTAGCCCTCTCTTAGAGAGTGTCTTAAAAAATGTCATGTTTTGCCGAAGCCGGTTTGGCTTAGTGGTAGAACGTTGGTCTGCGGACTGAAGGTCCCAGGTTCGATTCTAGTCAGGGGCATGTACGTTGGTTGCAGGCACATCCCCAGTAGGGGGTGTGCAAGAGGCAGCTGGTCAATATTTCTCTCTCATTGATGTTTCTAGCTCTCTATCTCTCTCCCTTCCTCTCTGTAAAAAAATCAATAAAATATATTTTTTTAAAAAGTGGTGATGTTAACAACATCAGGTATTTTTAATTGGCCAGTTTGAACAGGTCTCAATGCTAACAACGCTCTGGTTTTTATTTTATCTCAAATAAGATTGTGTAGACAATTAGTTTTCAACAAGTTAGGGCAGTTCCAAGCACATTTTTTAAGATGGGAGTTCGGTTTGAGGACTCAGAGATTATGCTAATGTTCAGACTAAAATAATAAAGAATTGATAATGTTTTTAATCTTTTCACAGGCAGAAAAATAGCTTGCAATACAGGTAGGGCAGGTGCTAAATGTGCTTACTTCGTGTTTCTAAGATTTTCTGAGATCCAATCTACCATTTGAATGGTTGGTGAATCTATCATATCTTATTATACTGCCACATTGGAGCTCCTTTGAAAACACATTCATGCAGTTTCAATTTCCCAGTCATGCCAAGTTACCTGTATATACAATACAACTCATGCAGACACAGACACACACACACACACACACACACACACACACACACACACACACACTATGCAGTATTCTCTCAATTAAAAATTTGTTGGGTCATTGACTCAGTATTACATTCTGAACTCTTTATTTTGTTAGGCTTTTGTCTACTGAATAAAAATCCTACCATACTGAACTGAAGCCGGTTTGGCTCAGTGGTAGAGGGTCGGTCTGTGGACTGAAAGGTCCCGGGTTTGATTCCAGTCAAGGGTATGTACATTGGTTGCGGGTACATTCCCTGTAGGGGGTGTGCAAGAGGCA